CCAAGTATGTCATGGACGGTGAAACTTTCCAATGGTAGTACACATGACGCGTCCACTTCTGTTTCCCCATCCTTGCTGGATGGGGTCTCTTCTGTTTCCTCATCCTCGTTGGATGGGGTCTCTTCTGTTTCCTCATCCTTGCTGGACAAGGTCTCTTCTGTTTCCTCATCCTTGCTGGATAAGGTCTCTTCTGTTTCCTCATCCTCCCTGGATGAGGTGTCTTCTGTTTTCTCATCCTTCCTGGACAAAGTCTTTTCTGTTTCCTCATCCTCTCTGGATGAGGTCTCTTCTGTTTCTGTGTCCTTTGCGGCTTTATCCTGTGATGCTGTCCATCCTCTGTGGTGATTGCAGCCAATGAGGTTTCCTCACTCTCACTGAAGAATAAACTCACTGGAGTCTGCTCTATTTCTTTGGTGGTTGGGTCATCATTTGCATCTGGAGAGAGAAAAAAAAAACAATTATTTCTATTCCTGCAATATACACGTCATTTACTGAAGTAACAGACTCTGTGGACATTGAAATGCATTTGATTTTACATATGTAAATGAATGTCATCAGTGTTCTGGAAATTATCTTGTGTCACCCAGTTCTCTTTATGGGAATTCTATACATGGACAATGTGAGGGTTCTGGGCCCTGGGAGTCCATTGGCAGTGTGTGGCTTTCTGTGACAGGATAAGTGTAAGTTAAAGTGCTTTTAATTCACCCTAAATAATCGTAGTTATACTTTTTTTGGCCACCAAACCACAGGAATCCTCACTGCACTGAGATCCTGGTGATAAAGACCACTGATCTACAATACATATGCAGGCTATACTTCCTGCTTAGTTTGATTTTGACTTACACCTCCTCCCTCTCAATGCAATCCCATCATTTCCAATATTCTATATCTCAGCAGTTGTACAACAAGCATGCTACCTGAACGTTAGTAATGCTCTAGAGCAGCGTTTTTCAACCACTGTGCCGCGGCACACTAGTGTGCCGTGAGATATTGTCTGGTGTGCCGTGGGAAAAATTCCAATTTCATCTGTAACATGTGGCTTCGGCTCACAAATAGACCAATCATTAGAATCTAATGATTCAGTGGTCGGCAAGCCGCGGCTCGCGAGCCACATGCGGCTCTTTACCCAGTCTAATGCGGCTCTTCTGTGTGCCGGGCGCCTGCTCCCCTCCCTCCTCTCGGTCGGCCGCCTCCCCTGCCTCCTCTCGGTTGGCAGCCCCAAAAGTCCGCGCGGACCTTTTAATCCGGCTTGCGGATGTGGCTGTCAGGATGTGTGTAGGCGGGGCAGCGTGCCGAACGTGAGGGGAGGGGAGCTAGGCTCCTCTCACAGTCCGCCCTGAAGACCCGAACGGCGCGGGGAAGACAGCGAGAGGAACGCAAAAGGTAAGTGAATTGACACGGGGGACTTGGCTTACTAGAAGGGGGGGGGGGGAATAGTACTGTGGGGGATGAAATACTATATGAGGGATGAATTACTTTATGAGGGATGAAATACTATATGGGGGGATGAAATACTATATGGGGGATGAATTACTATATCAGGGATGAATTACTATATGAGGGATGAAATACTATATGGGGGGATGAAATACTATATGGGGGGATGAAATACTATATGGGGGGATGAATTACTATATGAGGGATGAAATACTATATGGGGGGATGAAATACTATATGAGGGATGAAATACTATATGGGGGATGAATTACTATATGAGGGATGAATTACTGTATGAGGGATGAAATACTATATGGGGGGATGAAATAATTATAAAATAATTTCTTTGTGTTTGATTACTATTCAAGAGAATTACTTTATATATAGTCAATATAGGCACAGAGGTAATTTTTTTTAACATTTTCTAATGGTGGTGTGCCTCGTGATTTTTTTCATGAAAAAAGTGTGCCTTTGCACAAAAAAGGTTGAAAAACAACACTGCTCTAGAGCAGGGGCCCTCAAACTATGGCCCTTGGGCCAGATACGGCCTGCCAAAGTAATTTACCCATCTCGCCCCCAAAAAAACTAAAAAATAAAGAATAAAACCGGTGCCGTGCCGTGCAAATAGCTAGCCTGCACAATGGGTCCTCGATCATGAGGATCCAGTGAGCAGCAGCCTGGTAAAGACTCACCCCCTGATTTCCCCCTCTGCAGCCAGAGGAGCAACAGGAGAGGAGGAGGAACGTGCACCAGGTACATGAATTGTGGTGTCAAGTGCATTACAGTGTACAGCACCAGATTTTGCACTTTCCAGTTTTAGTAAATCAACCCTATAGTGACAGCCAGTCACTGTATACACTGCTCTTCTCCCCCCTCATATATGCAGTACACATAGTCCCCTATATCGGCACCTGTATCGGCTAAATTTTTCCTATCGGCAAGATGCCGATAGAGCTATTTTTGGCCGATATGTTTCGATGGCCAAAATTTCGGTGCATCCCTAATTAAAACACAACATAAACGTGTCATAAACACACTACATGATTTTCTGCAGCTGTGACGATCCCACGATCGCTGCCACCAATATGTGATGATAGCAGCGTCAGACCCGACCTTCTCACCAAACTCATGACCGAAGGACTGGCCAATCTAAAACAGCGATGGCATGTGTGTAACAATGCCACACCTAGCTGCACCCTGCACAACAATTTTCCAGCTAATTGGACCACAATCTGTTGAGATAATCATCTGTATAACAGGGTCACTGCAGGCCGGTTATACAGAGGGTTAAACAAAAACAGTAGCGCTCTTTTTAGAGTCAGGAATTCGGAAATTGCAATAAAGAGCTATAGAAACAGTTCAACATTTTCAGAAGGAAAGATTTATTACTAAAAAGTCAAAAGGATGCAATAAAAATATTTACAGAAAAAAGATGTAACCAATATATATAAATATACAGAGAACAACAGCACAGCAAAGAGGTAACAGATAGGAGGTTAAAGGGTTAAAGTACTTGTCAAACAGCTCTGGGTTTGCAGATCAAGTTTCAGAGCGAAAGGGCGGTCTCCCAAGTTGGTTCTGATGTTAAACGGGAGAATTCTTCAACTTCTTTCTCTTAGGCCTGACAACCCATTTTGTAGTTCCCTAGCAGGGGGTGTCTCTGAAGTCAAGGACCAAAGCCCCGCTTAAGGGGGTGTCATCTGGGCGTAGGCCTAAACTAGAGCCAAAATCTCTTAATAGTCCATATTTTGGCTCATAACTTTCCATTTGCACAAGTGACACTCCACCCGCGGGCAGTTTATTATGCAGACACGTCTGAGGATTGATTAGATATGAAATTATACACTGAATGGTTCACGAGATCTCCTTTTCTGCTTTCCTATGTATCCCTGCCAAGGAGAGTGACCTATCAAATTGTTAATCTCCTCTTGGCCAATCTGCCGAAATGCCTGGTTTTTATGTAAGTCCCTCATATTCCAAGATATGAGACATAGGGGAAAATGGATTTTAAAAGGGCTATCTGGGCTGTGCTTAGCTAGAATCTCTTTGAACTCCTGGGAAGGCTTGCATTAGCTTTTACGGTGTTATATTTCACAGCTTTCCTTGGGAGAGGTGTATAGCTCTGGGCTCCCTGCTAGGCTCTGGCTGGCCTATGACACTTCCAGCACACACACACACTGGCCAAATGTCTCTGTGACTCTCGGGGGGGGGGGAGAATGAGGGGAGAACATGGAAAATTCTTAACAAAATGGAGGGTTGGAGCAAAATGGTTGAACCGCGTCCATCTGTGTGTACGCTTGCTACAGCATCTCCATTAAAGTCTACCAGAAGAACCAATAATGCAATGTTTTGCATTTGAAAAAGTCCCTGACCCTTTCCAAAAAATGCACCGCTTGAAAACGCAGAGATGTAAACCTGTCCCATAGGAAATCATGTTATATGGACTGCTGTTCATTTCTGGAAAATGCAATGGAAAACACTTAGGTGTGAAACTGGACTAAGGGAGGGTGGGGGATTCTTGACATCAAATATAAGGGGGGGTGCTTTGGACATCTAGTCTGACAGATACAGCCAGCCTTTTGAGGGAAACCATAATGCAATGCTGATGCGCCACGCGCTGAAATAGAGTTTGACACCCGTGCCTTAGCGTATCAGAATCGCAGGTAAGATAACAGGATTCCAAATCGTGACAAAAATCAGTAAGTGGCGCTGACTAAAAATGTGCCAAAGTCAGCTACAAAAAAGGCTCCAGGAGCTACTTGGAAGCATTTCAGAAGTGGAGGGCAGCCCATTCAATTGAAAGATGTTGCTTGAAAAAAAGTAGGAAAAACGTTCTGCTCCGGCATCGCTAGATGTGAATGGGGCCTATGGCTCTAGTCACACCTGACAAAAATCCTGCATTTACCAGCGTTTGTCATTGAAACACGTATCACGTTTGTGGTGCCATTTATTGTTAACTGCACCCCGACATCAGTTTCTCTGACTCTCTGCAGTCTGCTGCCGATCGAAACGTTCCCCGGATCTCTGATTAGTAAGGTTGCCACCTCATCCCTTTAACCACTTGCCTACCGGGCACTTTCACCCCCTTTCTGCCCAGGCCAATTTTCAACTTTCAGCACTGTTGCACTTTGAATGACAATTATGCGGTCATGCAACACTGTACCCAAATGAAATTTTTATCATTCTTTTTGAGACAGAGCTTTCTTTTGGTGGTATTTAATCACCTCTGGGTTTTTTATTTTTTGATAAACAAAGCAAAAACAACTGAAAATTTTGAAAAAGAAAAAAGTTTTTTTCTTATTTTCTGTTTTAAAATGTTGTAAATGAGTAATTTTTCTCCTTCACTGATGTGCACTAATAAGGCTGCAGTGATGGGCACTGATAGGCTGCACTGATAGGCAGCACTGATGAGGAGGCATTGGTAGGTGGCACTGATGGGCATTGACAGGCATCACTGGTATGCATTTACAGACATCACTGATGGCCACTGAAAGGCAGTACTCATATATGGCACTGATAGCCGTCTCTGCCTGGAACTGTTAGGTGGCACTGATAGGCGACACTGACTGGCACTGAAAGGCAGCTCAGATGGGCACTGATATGTGGCATTGATGTGCACTGACAGGTGGCATTGATGGGCACTGATGGGGCTACACTGATCATCAGTGCCCTGATGATCAGTGTAGATGTCCTCTCCAAGGAATGACAATTACCGGCTCTCCTCTCCTCACAAGCTGTCAGCGTGACAGCTCGAGAGGAGAGAAATGCAGATAACTGGCATTTCCTTGTATACATGCGATCAGCTGTGATTGGACACAGCTGATCACATGACAGAGCCAAAGTCGTCGGCTCTTTCCTCTGATCAGTGATCCGCTGTGTCCCAGGGACACAGCACACCACCGATCACTGCACTGCGCGCCCCCAGGGGTGCGCACGTGAGGTTAGAGTGGGAGAAGAACGAGGAAACCACCTTGCATCTGTCATTTCCTTACATGGCAGGCAGGGTGTGGTTAAACCCGTACACATTAATTACACAGGTTCTGCGGCTGATTAAGGTGGTAATTACTCTCACCTAGAGCTTTATCTGCATTACATTGGCCTCAGAACCTGTGTAATAAATATGTGTTCGGGTTTAAAGGGATGAGGTGACAACCCTATCGATTGGACGAACAGACCAGGAAATATGATGGCCCATCTCGTACCTGTAGAAGTGATAGGTTCTCAAATCACTTCTATTTTACAGGAAATCGCCTTCTGAAAGTCGGTGTCCCCATTAGGGAGATTCACCCTATTTATCATCCAAAGTGAAAGAAAATCCAAAATTTGGGGTTGTCACCAGAACAGGAAGAGAGGGGAATTCTTCCAATGGGGGACACTAGCTCTGGGGATTCCCTCATTTTGAAGAGATTTTCTCTCACTTCCTGTTTTGGCTATGGGACAGGAAGTTCAGAGCAATCTCCTCAATGAGCCACAGATGGCAAAATAAACCTGACAATGGCTATAACTCTCCCTTACTGTTTGCAAACATGAGAAAATACAGCGTTAGACCTTTAAAATAATGTTTTTTGGAAAACGTAGCATTGAACAATGCGAAAGGCACATACAAAAGCCATATCACGGTGGACCAGTAGAATTTTTTCCTTTGCGTGACCTCAGAGCTTTGCCCAGCACTTCTTCCGGGTCGCCAGGGGTGATATCTGTCAGGATTTCCGCTGTTAGGGTTCTCTGACGAATACATCGCCTTGCGCATGCTCGAAACGGCTGCTCGCTGCTCTCACGTGTTCTGGGTGGTCAGACTCTCGCGCGTGCGCTATGTTCCCTCAGCCTTCTGCTCTCGCGCATGCGCGCTGTGTCACGTCTGGGAGGTTGCGGCTGACAAGGAGTTCGGCGGAACCAGAGGGCGGAGATCGGGCCCGAGTGATCCGTGTGAGCCAAACGGGAAGGGGGGAGGGGGTTCCGGTGTAGTGTAAGGGGCCACACATTGTGATGGAGGAGTGCCGTGTCCTGAAGAGAGCTGTGTGAGGGTCATGTCTATGTTACAGTGTATGGGGGAGGGGTCATATGTCCCAGGATAGTCCATGTACTGTATACAGGGGGGAGGGGGCACATGAAGTGATTGAGGTACAATGTCTGGGGGCCCCATACACTGAGATCTCCCCACCAATCCCACAGATACTCCAGGGAGGACTAGAGACCAGGCAGTATAGCCCGGAGAGAGACCAGAGGACCGGGCAGTATAGCCCGGGGAGGACCAGAGGACCGGGCAGTATAGCCCGGGGAGGACCAGAGGACCGGGCAGTATAGCCCGGGGAGGACCAGAGGACCGGGCAGTATAGCCCGGGGAGGACCGGGCAGTATAGCCCGGGGAGGACCGGGCAGTATAGCCCGGGGAGGACCGGGCAGTATAGCCCGGGGGGACCAGAGGACGGGCAGTAGTATAGCCCGGGGAGGACCAGAGGACCGGGAGAAAATAGACAGACTGGACAATACAGCCCAGGGAGGACAGACTGACCAGAAAGAAAATACAGTGGACCAGGGAGGACTGATAGACAGACTGCAGAGAGACAGACCGGGCAGGATAGCAAGAAAACTGTCAATCCAGACCAGGACAGACAGAGCACAGGTGGCCCCATTGATGAGGTCTGATCTATTTCCTATAGGGATCATCGTCTTGTACTCGCCTCGTGTTCCAGAATTGGTGAACATTTTGCACAGTAAAGGAATGGTGATGCGGAAGCATTTGTCTGCTAGCTCTAAGTGTTTTATATAAAGTAGCAGTAACCTCCCCAAAATTTTTTCTTTTTTCACTTTGGAAAGAGTAGTGGAGGGTTATAACCCCTGTCCATTTTTTTATTTTCCATCTACAGCTGAAAGGAGATTTCTACTCACTTCCTGTCCCATAGCCACAACAGGAAGTGAGAGGAAAACCCTCCAAAGTGACAGAATCCCTGTTGTCAGCAGAACTAGAGCATTGGAAGATTTTCCTCTGTTTTTTGTGACAACTAAAATGTTGGACTTTTTCACATTTCCCCTCCTTTCACATGGGCGACATCCATTCCAGTCAGCAGGGGATCCATGAACGGAGTGCTGGGCACTTTGGTGTCCATTCAGCTTTTTCCTCTGTCCTGAAACTGGAGCTTAGTGGACCCATGGTAATTCTATGGGCAGGCAGATTTAAATGGATACTTTTCTTGTGCCAAGTAGCTGTCTTGCTTTTTACAGAACACAGGCGCCATCTCAATGAATGCAAAGCGTTCTCTTATTGGACGAGGAAGAGAACATGATGTCACCTCCCTACCTGTCCGCCTATCTGGTGTCCCCCACCCTATAGTAGCTGCATGTTTTATATATAATTGTGTTATTTTTGACTTTTTAGTTAATATGAATTTAAATGAATATGAATTTTAAAAAAAATGCAATCCAGTAATGTAAAATAACTTATTGAAAGTAACACACAAAAGTAAAATGAAAAAACTTAGAGGCTTCTTTGCATTGAAGTCAATGGGACGCTATTTTGCATTGAAGTCATTTATCAGTATTGGCACTTTTTTTTTTCTTTTCCTATCGGCAAATGCTGATACCCTTTTTTTTGGCCAATAATTTTCAGGGGCTGATATATCGGTGCATCACTAGTAAAAAGGATTTTGGAGAAAAGTGCAGAGAAGGGCAACCAAACTGATAAGAGGCATGGAGGAGCTCAGCTATGAGGAAAGATTAGAGGAACTGAGTTTATTTGCTCTTGAGAAGAGAAGATTAAGGGGGGACATGATCAACATGTATAAATAAGTGGTCCATAGAGCAACCTTGGTGTAGCTATTCACTTTCATTACAGAGGACAAGGGGGCACGCTTTACGTCTGGAGGAAAAGAGATTTAAAGGATAAGTTCACCTTTGGGAACATTTTACATGTTCCACCCGTTTGTAGGTTGGAACATGTAACATGTTCCCATAGTCGCAGCCGCCGCATGCAGGGTGTGCCCCCCCCCCCCTGACAGTATGGGGAGAAGTTTCACTGTACGATCTGTCAAATTTGAAAACCGCGGGGCTCTACTGATCACTGGTGCAATGCTTTCCAGGCTCCTGTAGACAAAAATAATAAATGCACATTTTTTTTTACCTGCAAGAAAATGTGCATTTATTATTTTTGTCTAAAAGGTGAACTTATCCTTTAACTTCCACATACGGAAGCCTTCTTCGCAGTAAGAGCTGTGAAAATGTGGAATAGAACTCCCTTAAGGGCTAGTTCTGGCCAGCTCAGTAGGTTGTCTTAAAAAAGAGCTGGATACATTCCTAAACACACAAAATATAACTGAATACTAGTGGTGCACCAAAATGAAAATTCTGTTGCTGAAGCCGAAACCGAAAATTCAGGATGCACTTGGCCCGAAAACCAAAACTGAAATGAACCATTTTTAAAAATGTATATATTTTTCAAAACGCAGGTTTTTAAAAAAAAATAAATATACTTTAATGAATAAAAAAACCACAATATATACCCCAGTTTTTTTGTAAAATATGAAAGATGATCTTACACTGAGTAAATAGATACCCAACATGTCATGCTTTAAAATTGCGCACGCTCATGGAATGGCGCCAAACTACAGCACTTAAAAATCTCTGTGGGTGATGCTTTAAAAATGTGTACAGGTTACCAGTTTAAAGTTACAGAAGAGGTCTAGTTCTAGAATTATTGCTCTTATGATCCTGGCGATACCTCACATGTATGGTTTGAACACCATTTACATATGTGGGCGTGGCCTACATGTGTTCATCACTGAGCACGGGGTGGGGGGGAGGGGTGACAGGGACACTTAAAAAAAAAAATTGTGTTTAAATTTATTTTATTACATTTTTTTTTTTGCACTGTCCCTTAAAAAATATTTTTTATCTCTTTAATTCATATCACAAGGAATGGAAACATCCCTTTATGGAGAGATCTGGGGTCAATAAGACCCCACATCTCTCCTCTACAGTGTAAAGAATTAGATTAAAAAGAGCTAGTGCTTACATGGTGCCAGAAGGGACGTGATGACGTCGCTCTGGTCCTCCAAGAGCATAAAGATGAGTGGAGGCCACCTTTCCCTTTGTGATCCCTATGCCCAGCCAGGACCGTTGGAATGAGTTCTGAGGTAAGCCTGAGAAACACTGGAAGGCGGGGGGGGGGGGGGGGGGGTATTTTCGGCGTAATTTTTTTTTAAATTGGCCACAGGCTGATAGGGGTCATTTTGGCATAATCCTACTAAGAGGTAATCGCACCAGGAATGGTTGATCCATTGAATAACTGATTGCCTCCTGGGAGGGGGGGTCAAGAATTTTTTCCCCACTGGATCAAATTTTTATTTTTATTTAGATTTTTGGCCTTCCTCTGGATAAACTGTGGGTATAGGATTGTGTATATGGAGGTTTTCCATTTCTTTTTTTCTGTTAGTTGAACTATATGGACTTGTGTCTTTTTTTCAAACACACTTTGTTACCTTCTGTACTCCTACAAACTGTCAGAATGACCCAGCTTCCACTGTACTCGGTCACAAGACACAACGCAGAACAAACTGCATGCCTCTTACCAGTAGTTGCAGAGCACAATGGGTCGCACACTAGTTTGTATCAAAGCAG